GATAGTGGAAGTAGGTTGACGAAATCTCTCTGGAAACTGTAATGAACTAACGCCAGATTCGGATTAGACGGGCCCAAAAATCTTGGGAATAAATCTCCGCCTCTTGAGGGATTTATTTCGAAAAACAAATCGGTGACATCAAGAATGCGAAAATAATAAATTTGTCAAATGTCTTATCAAGCCAATTCACAAAACTATTTTTCTACCTATATTGGAAATCGAATTTTTTTCAATAAAAACTATGTTCAAATTACTTTTAAGGGGAAATGATAGAAAACTAACGCTTAAAAATTATTTTTCGGTAGAACATATATTGATGTATACTCAAAAATATTAGTTTTTGTACAGTAAGATGTACAATCAAATGTAAGCACGGAGTTCTGAAAACCCGAAGATTTTATTTTTCGTTGAATGCAAGCAGAGTCGTAGCCACTGGGGCACGAAAGGGTGCCGAGCGTCCTCTAACGATTCAAAACATATATGTACGTTCAGAAATATACCTAGAATTTTGTCAAAGTTTTGACATTGAGCAGGAAAATAATATTTGAAAAAAAAATCACAATATAGTAACAATCGAATTTTTGAAAACTAACTGAAGCCAACAGTTTGAAAAAGAAAACGATGGCAATTTCAAATGAATATTCGGTCCGTTTGAATCGATTGTAGTATTGTCGTGCCATTGGCAATGTTAATTTGAATATGAATTGTTAGTTTTAAGTTCTGCTGTTTTAGTTTTCATAACTGTTGTTTTTGTGAGCTCCCATGAGCGCCCCCGGATGTTCCGAGCTGGCTACGGCCCTGAATGCAAGTGATGCACAAAAACAAAAATGTATGCTGCGATTTATTCATTTACACCACCAAAAACTGGCTGAATAATTAGTTTATTAATTTTGTATACAAATTTTTCAGTATTTCAAATTAAATTTTTAACTTTACTCATTGCGTACTGATGTGATGAAGCTAGCACGGATGGTTGAATTTTTGAATGGATCAGCCACTTTATTTGCATATTTGCACATTTATGGCACTTGAGCTCTGATTTGTTTGTCCATGAGCCTGTCTTTGATTTTTAGGTAGTCAGTGTGCCGTAACGTGCGTATGCAATCTCCAATTGTTATGTCTTTGCGTAATATAATCTTTTGAGCGTTTGAACGTCGGTTATGTCGTAGCAAAATCTCTTGATGAATCCAAGGGCCGCTGTCACCTTCGATGTAATTGTGTCCATGTGTTTGACAAAACTAAGCTTCTGATCAATGATGACGCCGAGATCTTTGTGGTCCGATACTTGCTTGAAAGTGAAATAACCGTATTTGCACTTTGTATCGATAATGTCCCATTTCTTCGTGGCGATTGTAAGGACATTTGTCGAGGTTGAAGTGCAAATTGTTGGCATCGCACCTATCTTTTAGCTTTTCGATAGCCGATAGTAGCTTTTCAGCATCCGTGCTCGTTCTGATCATCATGGCAATTTTCACATCATCGGCGAACAAGGGAATGATTATGTCGTCCATTTCATCCACCATATCATTCAACAAAGTGCGCTGTAAATGGAAAATATTCAGCAATGAATGCTCTAACGGCATCTATACGGTATAGTTTGGAAGTATAAGTAAATGCTTTCGTCATAAGGTTTACCCAAATGTTGGAAAAGTCATTTGTCAGAAAAAAACATTTTAAACGTCATTCATAATTGAAGTCAGTGATCTTCCGATAGGGACAAAAGCAATGCAAACTGAACTCTGAACGGTTTTGAATTTGCTGAATATATTACCATTGCGCTTCACTGTGTTGATGTCATTGATGAATAACAAAAAGGTAGGTCCGAGATGACTTCCCTGTGGCACGCCAGATGATACTTTGAATTCGTTTGACTCGTTGCTTCCATACTTAACGAATTTTGTTCGGTTTGACAGGTATGACTCCGCCCAAGCAAGAAGATTGTCTGGCAGGTTGAACGATCTGAGTTTCAGAATCAATCTATTGTGATTAACTCTGTCAAACGCTTTAGTTAAGTCCGTGTAGAGAACGTCCACTTGCGCACCTGAACTTATGCCTCTTCGGGCATAGTAGGTAAATTTGGTGAGATTGGATGCAGTAGATCTAAACTTTATAAAGCCGTGTTGTTTTTTGGTGATTTTGTCCTGTACCAGTGACAGAAGTTTGACGTTCACCAAAAGCTCAAAGAAATTCGCCACAGTTTTGAGCTTAGCAATGCAACGATAGTTTTCAATCTTTGATCTCGCCCCCTTTTTGAAGATGGGTGATACACTCGAGCGCTTCCATTTGTCAGGAAAATGGTCAGTTGACAATAATTTATTGAAGATCTCCGTGAGTGGAGCCGCCAAATGACTCGCACAATTCTTTAGTATCAATGGGTGCATACCATCGGGATCCGTTCTTTTCCTGGTGTTCGCGGCTTGTAGCTCTTCAAGCACAAAATTGATGTCGAGCTGGAATTCCTCCAGAATTTTGCAAACAGGTTGGCCTATTCCGTTTCGTTTGCCGTGCGCACATCGGCATCGAATTGCATGACTTTCGGATTGTTGTCAGTACTCTTCTTTGAATCAACATATTGCCAAAATCTCGATGCATCATGCTTGGGCGAGGATTTCATTTTTTCCACACATGTGTAGTACATTTCCGTGTTGAGTTTGTCAAATTCACGGGATGCCAAGATGTATTTGAATGTCCGAGAATGAAAACGCAATTTCTATTCACAACACATATAAGTGAAACAAAAATAAAAAATTTATTGAAATGAAACAACACAATCGAATTTTTTCAAAGTGTAACAACAAAAAAGATTTTTTTAAAGTGTAACATCGGTATGTTGTTACACTTACTACATAGTTAATAATATGTTATTACGGGTAAATCTGTAAACTAGAATACTGACAAAATTTGAGACAAATCTATTTCCCAAGTTAATGTGTAATATAGATTTGAATAGATGGACTCATGGATACAATATTTTGAGGCATCAAAAATCAACACTTTGGAAAATTGGTCAAACAAACTTTTCAGAAGAGACAACAAAATTCGGCTTTCAAGAACTTCTAACTAATGTCAATAACTATCCAATGGTATGTATAAATCCACATAAGTCCATAAATAAAAATGTTTATGGCCAAAAGAGCTTAGACGATCAACTCATGGATACATTCCCCTAACCATTAATCGAGTAATACTCAAGGTCCCCCAGAATAAATTCACCGATGCTCGAAAAGATGATTAAAAACATACATATTTTGGCACATTGGGTTTCCATTGTTTGATTTCATCCGTTTTTGCTGGTTCATACTGTGCTCTGAAGGGTTGGAAGAAATGGAAACATCATATATTCTAAATAACATTCAACTGATCGTCACATTCGTTTTGCCAAAGTTTATTGCGATCGAACACATTAACTACGATACTCTTGTTGATTTTATTCTGAAGGAAGAACTGCCCAATAGAATAAATATATAAATATAAATCAAACAAATTTCTTGATTTTTGTCACCAAATTTCGTCCACTTTGATCATTTCTGTGAACAATTTCTTGTCACAAAATGTTCCCTCTATCCCATGACTTGGTCTGAAAAGTATAATGAAAAAGGTGAATTGGAGTCCAGGCCATATAATATTTTTGTTTTTATTTATTCATTCACACCGCATTTAACTGGCTGAATAGTTTGGTTTTGCAGGATAAATGTATCCATTTGGATTCGTGAAAAATTCTGATTTTTTCCTTGTGTTTAGATTTTGGGTATAACAATAGTCGAGTTTATGTTAGTTGACGAATCTTAAGTTAATACTAAAAGTAGCCTGCGTTTATTTTACGTTTTCATTTGTGAACCATGACTTCTCTAAAGTAAATTAGATTTATAGTAAAACTGGAACTATGTTTCAATTACAGATCTTGATTCGCGATAACACTTATTATTAACATATAACATGACTTTTTGATGTAAATAGTAATCATAACATATTTACATAGTTTAAATAAAACACTATGAAAGTTTTGGTACTTTCGAAAAAAAATGGAAACTTATCCTAATACTTATTATGTAATATTTCTTAGTGTAGTAAGAGTGGAATGAGAGAACAATCAGCAGTGTCATAGAAATATGTAAACATTCAATTGAAAGTAGTTTTGCTTATTTATTTAAACTAGTAATAGTCGAATTTTCACATGATCTTTGATCACACATGAAATTGCCGTCTGTTTGGTGACAAGAACAATAAGTGAGTGGTGAAACTCTCGGAGAGTCCTTATTTATATGATGATTACTGATTTTATGTCATGCTTTATAGACTAGAACGCACAGTATGCTAATGTTTCATTGTTGCATCAATAAGCGGTAATAGAACCAACGCCAAATTACATACATTTTTCAATTAACATGATATTTGTTTAGTCTTTGAATGTGTTTCGTTCCCCAAGTTTTAACTGTTGATAGGATATTGTTGTTTGATCAAAAGACGTGAAACGTTGGACTTTAAAAACTGTACCTCACGTAGCATACCAGCCAAACACAAGCATTTCCTCATAGGTTGTCGGCATGCGTATAATTGCAAGGCCATATTTTTATGATTCTTCATCGTCGTTATCGTATTTAGGTGTTTTGAATAACATAAATATATTCACGCGCATATGACTTCGTTTAGACCACAACTCATTTGGGGAAATATATTCGAATGGAAATTAAAGAACAGAGAAGTATTTGCAATTCAGGGTGCCCTTTTCATTATCATTTCCATTTTTAGCACGTTCAGGCGCTTGGTTGTGCGCTCGAATACGTTTTGCACATTAATGAATTAGGGTAAAAAATCCATGACTAAATTACTTAATTAAACACAGTATTCACGTACAAAATAAGCGGCAACAGTCAAGGTTTTGTTACTTCTTGTCTAATTGAATTTATGATGTCAGCTACTCGGTGGAAATGCTGTTACATTCTTATAGCTAATGTTGTGTGTTGGTTTTAAAATATGCATCACGATCTCAGTGCACTTACCTCTTGGGGATTAAAGTAGTCATCATCAGCACAGTGTTGCATTTCTTGTATGAACGGAGTCACCTGTTCCCAATCTTCATTCATATTGGCACTTCGTGTAGCGATTCTCTTATTTATCGTTGTTTCTTTGTTTTCCAACGAATAATACTGAGTCCACAGCACTGTTTATTTCAAATGCCACTTTCTTTTTATTGACAAACTTATAAGTGGTTTAGCTACTTCTTCGCTGTGATCGATAACATACAGTACGATCATAACGTGTATAAAATTTATAGTACTATTTCAAAATAAAATTATTGACAAAAGAGTTCACATGCCAAATGTGAAAGTTTCATTTTGAAAAATCTTTACGCATAAGTATTATTCTAAAATTTGTGACGGTGTTTTCATTCAACCACCCATCAATATTTAATATCGTTCATACACAAAGCTGAGTTTCCTCACCGTTATTATCAAACTGTTACTCCTTCGATAACATCCATATAATGTGTTTTTATGTTTTTGTTTGATTTTATTCCCTTTGGTTCTATTTGAATTCGTGTTTTTGCATTTTTCACACAACAATAAAAAAACTTAAATCCTTAATTCACTGACATACCCAAATCGACACTACACTGTATAGTCATTCAAGTTGCCTAACGAAATAAGAATATTTACTGTATTTGGGTAACGATAAATGGGCAAAAGTACCAACGTTTATGGAAATAGGTTTCAGCGATGCCAAATTCCAGCCACAATCAACATACGACGGACATTTATATTGCTTTGTGCTTGTACGTACATCGCACACAAAATACAAAAGACGTTTAACGTATTGAAACAATGCGATGAAGCTCTGAACTGAACCATCGCCGGCACTACACAGTATGGCATGAAAAAACATGACTTAAACTCCGCTCAAGCATTTGAGCAAGCGAATATTATGTGTACTGTGTGTGTTGGACCATGTGCTGCGCCTTCGGTAGTTGATTCGCTAGCGTTGGAAGCGCAAAAATCTTTAGGTCCACAATCGTTCGAATCGTAATATGTTTTCGACACCTGTGAGTTAATCTTTTCTACAGTGTGTATATTGATATCAATTGCTATCAGTTTTTTCCATAAATCCGAATTCATCAATTTTTCCTGCAATACTATTCACGCAGCAACTTAGCGGTGTTTTTAAATATAGAATAAACTGAAAACGTTTTTTCTAACATACTTGTAGTAAACGCATTGATAAAAATTGATTGAAAAAATAAATAATATCAACGTTAATAAATGTTTCGTTGTAATATCATTCTCTAACATCTTAAAGCGAAAATAAATGTAAATCCGATGGGTATCAGTTTTAATAAAATCAAATTCTAGAGCATTCATTATTCGGTCAACACGTGAATCAGTCCAACACAGATGAGATTTGGTAGATATCGCCACGAAAAATTATCTTCTGTCAAATATAAAGTCTTAAAAGCAATACTGTTTTCCACGCCAGACTTCTGTAAAAAATCAACATTTTTTCATATCACACTAGATATCAATGCTACTAGCACCTAAAGATTCTTTTCCCAAATGTATAGTACATAAACTTGATTTGAACGTGCGCCGCTCCGATGCCGGTGTTGCTTTTGGGTTTTCGATTCATTTTAATGTGTGTACGATATGAATACGAGTTGCTGAACAACGGCACTACAACGTTAAGCGTGAAGTACTGGCAAACGAAAACTGCGAAAGACGAGAAAGAGGAAACTTTTCTCTACGAACCAAGAAAAAACCACCTCCGATTGCGTTGTGCATAGATTTCTGACTAATCCGATATGTTGGCATTAAATTGTGTTTTTGAATTGTTCTCCTGTGTAATGTTGTGTTGCACTACATCGCATTTCATCGGCTACAGACTCGAAGTATATCAGCATTGGAATAACACACACCTTAGTTTACTACATACACGTTAAGGCTTTTGCCATGTCGTGAATATCGTCTCGAAAATTGAATTGTTCCCCTTCATTTTCCACATTTCCACATTTCCACCATGATGTTTTCACTGACTATTTCAAATTAAAAATGCATTGCTTTCATTTGTGGCACAGAGAGAACTCAACTTACAAAACGGTAATTATTCGTTCGGTTACTTTTTTTCTCCAGTCCTAATTTCACACACTCATAAAAGCTACTATGCGACACTTCAGTGGCAATTTAACCGAATACTCGACAATTTTCAAAATTAGGTTCTATTGTCTCAATTCGTTATTTCGTTTCATTCTCATGAAACACGAAACCGCACGCGATATCAATCAGCAGATCAATAACAAAAGATAAGCAGCGCTCGTTTTTTTGTTTGGAATTAATGAGTAGAGAAACAAAAATAATTTTTATTGACTGTCGCGCGCATATAATTTATTTCATCGTATTCCATTGATCTCCATGATCATTTTTATTACGTGTTTTCCTTTGCATCGAAAAGCAAACAAAAAAAGAAAAGATATATAAGACACATATTTGTATCTTTAAATTTGTTTGTTTTTCTCTTTTTAATTATATCAGTAATCGATCAGTTTCGTATTTCCCTCTATTCTTCACTTCGTTTTTGGATTGATTTTGATGACCACAACTTGTTGCTACCGTAAATTTATGAAACCAACGTAGATTCTTGATCCGAACTCATAAAAAATGATCATGGTTACACCAGAAATTTTATACGGACCAAATGTCAACTACTTTACTCGGTTTAACACACAGGTTAGATTTATCGGCATTGAAATTTGTGAATGAGTGGTCGGGAACATAAAAAAAAACAAGACTAAGAAAGAATAATGAGATTCCTGTCTCAAAACTGAAGATAAATCATTTGAAAATTTATTAGATATCAAATTTCCATTCATTCATTTAACACCGTAAAAAAGATCATTACTAAACTCGAACTTAAGTTGCGTGTGTCCATTATAAATTTGGAAGCAGATTTTACTATCTTGATTGAAACGATTTTTCATGAATGAATTTCGATGTTTAAAGTTTTAAGTATTGAGTAAACATTTCGAAATGAATAGATTTATTCGGATTTACAGGTGTTGGAATCAAAACACCAAGTTTTACTTTTTTATTTTCACATTGAAATTCCTTTTTCTACTACCCAAAAAACCGCAATCACAACAAACCAATTCGAACAATTTTCGAAGCATTCATAAACTGTTAACCTTATTTTATCTGTCTTCAGTGATTCATTAGCACAAACGAAATCAATTATAAATGGGAAAAAAATGAGAAACAGAAGCATCTAATTAAAACCACGGTAACACCGCACAACCGCCAATCATTATATGTGAGTTTGTTAGTTTTGGTTTTTCTTGTTCCCGCGCTGTTCGCAGATGCGACGGAAATAAATTTTCGTTTCTGATTTCGTGATTATTGTTTGCGTTGTGCTATAAATGTTTAGTGAGTGCGTGTTCTGTTTTTACTCACTTCCAGAAGCTGGACCACCAAAGATTTATTTAAAATTTAAATTGAATTGAAAAATGCTGCCTTCTGTGTTAAAGTCCAGCTGAAGGCGACAGAGATGTTTACCGCTGCTGTTTCTGTTGTTTGAATCGGAGAGACAGAGACAAAGAAAAAGATGGGAAAGAGAGAACCTCAACTGGCCTATGTTTTCACTGTGTGGCCACACTTAGCATTGCTTTAAACTGCGTGCATTTAACAAATGATGCAAATACAAAGCATATCGAAAATTGCCCAAAGAGATTCCTCGAATAAATTATGAAACGGTTGCAGCCTTCCCTTATTTTTATTGAATATTTTCATGATTCGGACTTATCCTGTACATTTGTCTTTATGAACATTCGAATGTATTTCACAATTTAATTTTTCTCTCGAAGAATCATAAAGTGAAGAATCAACTGCCGTTATTTAACACTTTGTAAGTGTGCAACTATCTTCTTTATCTATTATCTCATCCATTTATAAAATTTCATTCCATTTTTATGAACTGTTCGGAATAAATTCCGGACCCCATTGGAGTGATTGCAAATTATGGCATACATCAGAAATATTGGCAGAAATTTTATTCCGATTCGGGATAGTCCATCCGACTTATCGAAATTTCGTTCGTTTCCGTTTTGCACGAAAATCACTCCAAGAGTCATGAAAAACCTGATTTTTCCGTGTTTATACAATTTAGGGTTTAAATTGTACTTTGATTTGTTTAGTTGAAAGGGGGAAATCGATGTTCGAACTTTCTTCTGGAATTACGCTTCAAATACATTTCAACTCTTTCTTTATATAATCACTATAGTGATTACAACAAGAATTTTGCAGTATACTATGTTTCATATTAGCCAACACTTCAATAGTGTTCGGAATTTATTCTCAGCGCTTCATGCATGTTGTTATGTGTTATTATTCAATTTGTGCCGTAAAATCATACTTTTTTCGGATTATTTTATAGGATCAGACTTTTGTTCCGAAAACTATAATTTTCCATCCATTTTGACGTAAACATTATACAGTAGAACCTCGATTATCCGTCAGGCACCGGACCAGCGCATTGATGGATAATCGAAAAAGACGGATAATCGAGACTTTCATATAAATGGAACAAAATAATCAAAATTTCAATACTTTCTAATTAGTTTATGATGAAAAACAAGGTGATGTGAAAAATATATAATAGATTCGAGAACAGATTTGGTGCATTGTCCAAAATATTGGACAATCTTGTATATACGAGAAGTGTACCGAAAACGCAAAGCCTCTGATTTCAAATCTTATTGTGCGAATGTACAAGGGGCACACAATAGATTTTGATTATGAAAGTTAGTTGGCAACTTTATTCGTATGTTCAAGTGAAATAAACTGAAAAATGAACTAAAAAAAACTTTTCCACCTTGAAAAGGTGTGACGGTTAACGGAGGTGACGGATAATGGGAGGACGGATAATCGAGGTTCTACTGTATACTTAATTGGCATCAGCATATGAATCGTAACCATTTTGTTTCGATTCAAATGATATTTATAGCGTTAATGATAAATTATCTGACATGCCTAATTGCAACGGAATTAGTGTCCAATTTCACAAACTTAGATTTGCTGCAGTCTTACTGTCTGCTAGCATCACAACTCTTGTTATTGGTGATGTTATACCGAACTCTACAATCCAAACGGTTTCAAAACGTGTACTTCCGCATAATGCGTTAGTACAAGCACATGCATA